GTCGACGTATATCGATGCTAATTCGACGCTAATTCGACGTTAAATTAGCGTCGAATTAGCATCGAATTGTCATTAGCGTCGAAATGTGTTTCGACGCTAAATCGACGCTAGTGGCTTTTAGCATCGAAATATGACGATGTTAAATCTGTGTTTTTTTGTAGTGCAACTCATGCCCTCCTCCCAACATTCACATATTATACATTTTGTCAACTCCTCGCTCGTAGTTGAGGGACTAGGTACTAGAGAAGCTTTGCTTTAATGCAATTGATCTTAAACTACGAACAATAACAGTGGAATCGGATTCCAAGCAACTTGTTCAAATGTTATCCTCTGGATCAACTTTTAGTGAGCTCAATGGCATCTTATCGGATATCAGCTTTTATCTTCTTATTTGGTGTTCTTTCTTTTAATTTTACATCTCAAAATGCTGACGGTGTGGCTGATGCTCTGGCTAAGCAAGCCTTGCGTATGTTTGCATTTGAACTCTATCCAAGATTAATATAAATCTTAACTTGTTACCCAATCAAGAAAAACGATTAGAAATGACGGAATAGAGAAGGCGGTTGAGTTGAAACGAACGCTTAAAGATAGTTATGATTGATTACAAGCGGTTTGAACAGTAAATATTTTTTTTATAAAAAAATATCAATTTAAAATATAAATAGTGATATATAATTCTAGTTTGATTTTTAAATATTTTATAAAAAGTAATATATATAGATATGAATTTTTGAAAATGAAAAAGAAATATTCTCAAATGTCTGTATGATAAACAAGACTTTGTAAACTCATCTCGTCCGATTGGTAACAAACGAGCGGTTAAACCACACCATTTTTTCAAACTTGGGAACTTATCGGAGCCGACAGAAAACTTGAAAATATTTAAACCAGTTTTAATTTTGTTTGGTATACAATACATAGTTTTCATTTGTTTTTCTAAACAAAAAATATCTAATTTAGCGAAAATTCTATTCATTTTCGAAGCACATTACTTGGTTCAATAAAGAGTTTTCAAGAAAAAATTGTGATCAAGTTTTTCACATGATCAAAAGCCCAAGACTTTAAAATAAAGTCGAGTAACCCACAGTTTAATTTGGATCAGTTTTGGGATAGATCTATGAAAAATCGAACCAAATTAGGAAGTAGGAACCCATAATT